AGAGAGAGAGAGAGAGAGAGAGAGAACCAGAGATAAGAGTCAAGAAGGAATGAGTAAAAGAATGGGGGAAAAAAGAATGGACTTCACCAATACCTTCGGGAGCAGTTGTTTTACAATAGTAATAGCAACATATCGTGAAACAATGTCAAAGTAAATTTATTCCTTGGAGTCCACTTAAACCGAATATAATGGGTTAATCCAAAAATAGCAGTAAACTGAAAGAAATCAGAATACCAATTTTTTTTTTCTTAGCTTCAAAATTACATATATAAAAACGAAAGAAAATATAACAGTCTCACAAACTTCAGTTTAACTTAAGTGGACTTCACTGCATATAACTTAAATCTCCATCATATTTTCAAGGACACAACGTTGGGGATGGGCTCTGTTTGAATCCCCATTCATTCATGAGTCCAGCAGCCTAATATACCCAGTGCCGATTGGGGGATCGGTTCTCTTATACAAACCGATCGCAAACCGAACGCTCTACTCACGACCTTAAAAACAAACACTCTGCATTTGTTTTTAAGGCCGTGAGTTGAGCGTTCGGTTTGTACCCCGCCTACCAAAGCGAATCAAACTGATCGTGCCAATGGGCAATGGGTATAACAACCAGCTAGACAACTGAGGATGCTAAAAGGCATCTCTTATGCATGCGATCATAATTTAATTATCAATAAATAAGTTTATTTGTCACCTCCTTCACCCCCTTCTGTCATTAGGTTCTCTAAACTTTTTACAATGTTGTCATAACTGTCTGACTTGGAACATTCTGGAGCATTTGAAGGGAAGCGATTATCCTCCTCAAACTTCAGTTGCTGGCTCGCAAGCTCGTGGCAAATGTTAACTGTGATGATTCCAGGTCTGTCATCGATGATGCCACTCTCGCCACCAAGAGAAAGCCGCACAACACACTCTGGCATTTTTGCATTACCTGAAGAGGATCTCAAAGAACGTTCAAGAAGAGGAACAAAGCCCGTCTCGTACTCAAAAATTTGTATCTCTGAGTGACGCTTCAAAATTTGTCCACTTGGGTTCTTCGGGAGAACCTGGGATACAACCCTCGCCTTGCACTTCCGGGTGGCGTATATGTTCTTATTCCTGACTGAGAACAGCACTCCTCGCTTCAATGTACCCAGAACATCGTTGATAACCTCCATCTGTTTCTGCGTCAGCTCTCGGCACAATTCTGATGTCCTCAGTTCGATTCTTTGTATTTCACTGCTGTGGTGTTCAGTGAAACCGTAACATAAGGTAAAGGAAGACTTCTGCACTGGTTTTTGTAGAACCAAATACCGAAAGTAATAGACTTTAACAGTCAACAACGGCTGCTCATTCTCGTTTGGCTGGACTGGTGGTACAGAGAGAGAATATACAGGTCGAGGAACCACAGGGAGAAGAGAACTCTGCGACCCATGATCGGCCGATGAAACAGACCTGTCCACAACACACGTATTATTAACAGCTACTGAGTTCTCAGTAGCAAGCAAAACATTATGACTGATTTCATTTTGGGCCACACCTGAATTTAAGGTACCAGTAGTGAAGGTATCATTTTCTGCCTTACTTTCGTTCGGCACCACATTTTCATCAGGGCTGTTATTCTGTTCAGCGGCCAACAAACCCTGGAAATCTGGGAGGTTTCCAAAACGTCCCTCATCAAACCCTGCTTCAGGAGTAAATAATTCTGAGCTTAATATTGAAAGGTCCGATGGGCCTTGAGAGTCGGTTAACATGCTCTGATCATCTGAGTCAGGTGTCAAATTCCAAAAAGAGTTCTCCAAAAAGTCGACTTCCAAATTCTCTGAAGGAAGGTCCACACCACCCTGTATTGGGCTACGGCTACGATAACCCTGACTCACTGGATCTTCAGTAAAATTACAAGGTAGTGGTCTACAAGAAAGCACATCAAATTGGTCATTGAAATGACCATTTATGTCAGGGAACAGCACTTGTGGACGTCCACGAAAATCATCATAGGGTCCTCCTGGAGTCGTAAGCGATGCTGTAGCTGTTGCATTATCATCAGTGAAGCCTGACTGAGTTGACGTGGGCGGTGGTACTGGCTTCTTTCCCCTTTTTGGTTTTTCCTCCAAGAACTTGTATATTTTGAACAGTTTAGTTTTATCAGCTTCAATCATTTCAATGTCCTCAAGGCTGCGCAAATCATTCCGTAACCGTTCCTTCCATTTGCTCAGGCTTCCTTCATCTGGCCACATGACCCTTGCGATTGCTTGCAAGACTTTTCCATCTGGTTCATGCAGCAGACTTTTTTTCTTTGTTTTCCACGGAAGTTGCCAGATTCCTTTCTCTTTGTTTATCCACTCCAATCCATGCAGCTGATTTTCATCTAGCAGTTGTATAAGAAGAGGCCGTAAGCGTTTTGTTCCATGTGACACACCACACTGTGCTGGTCTCTATGGAAGACAAAAAGTCAGCAAGGAATTAAAAAATTGCATGGCATATGTTCTAATAGATCTATGTCTTCTGGTGAAAATGTATGTATCTTCAACCGTTCTCAAAGGTGAGATGCGCTGAAGTTCTTTTTCCTCTAACCAACACTAACATAAAAAATAGAGAATTGGTGTGAAACCTTCTTGAGTGCAGTAACATTTAGGCTACATATATATATTATAATATTATTATATATATTCTGCTTTTTCAGAGGGACCAGCCACAGTCAACAACTTTCTGAAATAAATGCCAAAGATTTTGGAAAGAGTTGTGCTTATTGAATGAATTCATTTCTGTGTCACTATATATAAAGTGACTCACTAATGATACAAAATCCATCAGATGCTCAAAGGAATTCAATGTTTTCATTATTCAAGATAATTTCTTTTAAAAAAATAATTATGAAAAAAACAACAACTTTTAAACCTGGAAGAACTTAATTGTTAAAAGTGAGCAAAAATATACTGGCTTTGCAAGAAGCTGATCCAACCTACAGTTATCCACATATTTCTCTCCCTTCTTTTGTCTTAGTAAAAGTTTTACGATGCTTCCAACTGCATAAGGTCATATGAGGGCGCGATCCTTCAATCCAAGCAGCAATTAGCAAGCCTGTAATGTAATCACTATTAGCACACTCAATTACTCTCTAGGCATATGTAGGCCTACTAATACTCCCATTAAATCTAAGTGCCCACATCGCACATACTTAATCACATTTTCCTCTTCCTAAACCAACCATGCGTCTGTACTGAATAAAGGATTTTGTTCAAATGTTGGAGTCCAACTATACACCAAACCAAGACTTGTGTCTGTTATATTGTTGATTTAGTTTGCGTCTCCCCTAACCTCAAAACTTTACAATTTCATCACATCTCCAGCTCTCACAACCCTACATAAAACTGCTTTAAAGTCAAGACACTTATTCAGTATTATTAACCGTAGGTTGTACCTGACATGTAAACGAGAAGCAATATAGAATAGTTAGTTAAAACATGATACTAGATCTACTTCTCATAGAAATGTACCTTCATTTTGTGTCCTTTATCTTAAAATACCAGTGCTGTTACATACAAAACATGTCTCTCTTCTGACTCTTCTGATGCACTAAAGAAAACTCATGTGATTAAAAAAACTAGAATCTAGACTATAAGGACACAAAGTGAAGAATTTTCTTTTCAGCCTAGAACAATTTAAAGGCTAACAAAATTTGTGAGGCTCCTCACTCAACATAAAAAAATAATTCTTAGTTAGATCTATTTTCCAAGTAGATTCTATAGGTTATTACAAACATTATACCATCGAACTGGTCCATATTATAATTATCTAATGGTCACTGAAGATTATAGGCCTAGAGAAAAGTGACTGTAATGAACAAGTTGCTATGAGCAGGATCTGAGTTACGGCGACTTAAACAGAGAAGGTGACTTGTTGAACAATTATTAGCCTACAAATTCAAACGTTAATAGGCCGAGTCTCTACAATTGACAAGTAAAAGCAGATCAGCAAACTTGTATTAGATCTACACCTAGGCTAATAAATCACTAGGCACTTACTTTGCGAAACCTTGCTGCCTCCATGGTCATGAGTCTCGCCTCGGTTCACCCAGTCTGACAATCGCAGCTCGATGTAAGAACTGAACAAGTAAGTAGGCCAACTTGTAAGAAAATCAAATTTAGAATAGATCTAGATCTTTCTAGCTGTGACAATTCGTGACAAGATAGGCCCTACAGCCAAGGGTTGATAAGTGGGCAAGTTGATGAAGTGAAATGCTCTTGTCCGGCTTCTACTTTTTTAGTGAGAGTAGCTCTAGATTATCTAGCACAGTAGGCCTAGGTCTAGAGTCTAGTCTAGATCTAATTAGTTAGGCCACTAATAAACTGCAGGTCGAGTGTGAAATTCACTGAAATCCTCCTGTGCTCGACATTCCTACTTCTCTCGTAACGTTGACTGTGAGTCCTTGTTGGCAACTGAATAATCTATTGAATGAACCCGCTATAAGAGATAACCCACAACCGAAATTGAAAGAACACAGCGACACGTTACCCCGAACTTGAACTTTTAGCGTGGTGGCCCAGATACAAACACTTCCGAGAAATCGGAAAAAGCGTCAATGAAACTATTTTTAGATGGCCGGAAGAGGGAACCCTTCCCGGCCCCACTCCAAGATACATGTAGGCTAGATTTTTTTCCTTTAACCTTTTACGGCGCTCGCAGCTGCATAGTGCGTAAGATAGGGTCATATGAGCGTGCAGGACACATTATACATCAGTTTGGTAGAAGTTTTATAAATTTTGCCATGGTGGCGGCCGAAGCCAAGGCCTATTTTACTTTTACTCCACAGAATTCTACTCTTTTATAAGAATTCTCAGGCGTGTAGTGGCCTATTCTTATCGATTTTAGGATCAGCAAGTGCGCAACGGGGAATTTCGCCTTTATCCAAGAAGGCTAGTAGGTGTAGATCTTACATACCATAAGATCAAGGGTGTGGATGAAAAACAACAGTAAGAAGGAGCCATGAGAGCAGCAGAAAGGGCCCCTCAGAGCAAGGGCCCCCTTTAAGGTTTTTTTTTTTGTTGGGGGGGGGGGGGGGGGGGGGGGGCAGAAAGCCTATGTCTAGAGGGCAGGAAATGAGGTGAAAGGAGAACATTTTAGAGAAGGAAATTTTCAGTCAGTCGCTTTCTCGGGTTTCGAACCCGTATAATACCTAACCTGTCATTGAAAGAGAGGCGAACACCGTACGGCCTAACGTGCGTGACGTCTAGACCGCGATAATAGCCTCCTCCCCCCTCCCCTTCCCAGCCCAGATAGAATGAGTCCGTTCAGGCCAAAGTTCTGTCCTCGAGACCGCTTAATTCTATGGACAAGGCCAATTTATATACATATTATATATATACGAGTATATATATATATATATATATATATATATATATTAAAAATATATATATATGCCAGTGCCTACACATTTGACACGCAGAGAGCTGCCAGACACAAGCAAACAAACAGCACCGCCCCCTTGCCTGTACAAGTACTCTCACTGTCAGGTCATACGCAACTAAATATTTCATTCCGCACGCTCATAATAATAATATGATATGCCTATTATGAACTTGCTGGCGCCGTATAACTTTTACTAAACTAAAAACCAATCATAGTCATTCAGTACATAAATGGGTCCCTTCTTTTCACTTCTGTTGACCCACGGAGACAAAGGGCACAGCGTGAACCTTTTCTTTTTTATTTCTTTCTTTTTCTTTTCCTTTCTTTTTCTTTTTTTTTTCTTTTTTTTTTTTGGGGGGGGGGGGGGGGGGCTAGTTTAGAGATCTGTAATAATAGGTTATTATTATTATTATTATTATTATTATTATTATTATTATTATTATTATTATTGCACGTTTTATATACATGTAGATCAATGTGTTATTAAATATTCTATTAAAATAAACTTTTTTTTTTTTTTTGGGGGGGGGGGGGGGGGGCTCTCGATGGTTTACAAGTTAAGGTGTTCGCCTCTCATTCAATAGGTTGCGGGTTCGAATCCGGATAGCGACGGAAAATTTTCTTCTATAATAAAAAACCAACAACTCTCCTTTCACTTTCACAACCTTTCCTTCTCTTTGACAATGTTCTGTCGTTTGCTTTCGTCTCCACTTTCTGCCTCCATCCCCTCTTTCTACTGTTATAACTCCTTGGCTCCTTACTACTGTCTTTCAGCCACACCCCTGATCTTGTGGTATATACAATCGGAGAAGGACAAAAATCTCGGAGGTCCCTTGTGCAAGTTGCGCACGTTAATGATCCCTTGGTGGTCAAAAATAGAATGTAGGCTTCGGCCGAAACCCGGGCAAAAATCAAGGTTTCCTACCAATGTGTCCTGCGCGCTCGTATGGCCTTATGTACTTATCAAAAAAGAAAAAAAGTTTTGTCGACCAGCAGTTACAAATGTACCAAGCCCCCCCCCCCTAAAAATACACCCCCCCCCCTTTCACCCAACCAAACTATCCAGCTTTTTATTTGTGGTAATCGTTGTAGGTGCGTAAGAAACATTTTGAAAAAACTCTAATTGTAGATGTTGAAAAAGAGAAAAATAAAGTTAAATCTACTCGATTTCTAAACGCTTAGTGTAATGTTCCTGTCAGATTTTGCATCGTGGGCTTATAAAAGTACAGTATCATACATTTTAACAGCTTGCTTACGGTTCAACATGCACAAAGAAGCCTACTGAAGAAAAGGCACCCCCTTCAACCCCCCCCCCCCCGCAAAAAAAATTAAGACCCCCCCCCCCCCCAAAAAAAAAAATAAAAAAAAAATAAAAATAATAATTTAAAAATAAATTCGTAGATAAGTAAATAAATAAAAAGTGTCTCATACTTGCCTGGCCTTCAATTTCGTTGAATCCAAGTGATCGTTATAGCAAGCATAAGGTTTTGTGTAGATAATTACAAATATTATATAGGCACCCAGCAAGTAGTGCATAATGTATTCCACTTTCTTAATCAAAAGTAGTCTGGTTTCAAATGAGAGGCATTTTTATTTCTTTGATACCGAAGAAATGCTGAAAAATTCTCGGAGAATACACTGAAATCTACAAAGCACACACTGTACTAAAGGGCTGATTCGTTCAAATGCACACCTGTTTTATCTATCATCTACAGCGTATTGTTTGCCAAACTAGTTATGTTGCTGTGTGAGCTTTTGCCAAAAGGTGGGGGTGTTTGCTTAAGGACTTTTTAAATCAACCACTACTCATGGTAAAATATGATTTCTTCTGAAAACTTTATGCATATGGCAAGGAAATAAGTTGGTCAAGCTGCATGAGCAAGTAGATTGATGTGTGCATCTTATATCTCTACATAGACAGATAATAGTACTAAAAATAGGGCATTTTTTACTCACCCTGAGTGCACACGTAATTGTATGTTAAATACAGAATATTGTTAATCTTAAACTATCAAACAGAAGTGCATTCAAACATTGAAAATAGTTTGTATACACCATCATAACAGCGTATGTCCATTAAAAGGGTTTTATTTTTTTATATTAATGATGTTATTGCTGAGTAAAATGTATAAGTTCGTTCATAACTCGTGTCATAAATAATTACATCATCAGACTTTCCAAGGTCTAGAAAACCCAAATCGTTAAACATATCATCCCGGGGAATGACCGGTATTAAACACTGGTTTGACATTGATCCATCATTTTCCACTCCATAGAATGGTTTTGCTTAAATATGACTTTGATTGAGATAATCCAGGTTTGTCATAATGATGTTATGAACAAACACTTTATGATATTTCTGCAAAATATCATGTGAGGGACTTCCCACTTTTTCACAACATCCTTTTACATGGTGGAATGAACATGGAAGAAAATCGTGCTGATGACTCAAAAGAGAAGCGAAGAAGAGGCAAAAATATGCTTGTCATAATGAATTGTCATCATGTTATGAACGTGACAGTGTGTAATAATGGTTATGAACGAAACCTTATTCTATGTAATTTACAGTTGTTTTGGGATGTATTTTTAATTTTAACCCAACTTGAGGATGTATTAGACCTTGCTTACGTTCTGATATTTTGATTTTTATCATAAGTGTATGGGTCTGGATTTTAATTAGTATTTTACTTTTGTAGTAATGGTTATGAACGAACTACATATTGTACTTTGACGGCTTTCCAGAATTGATAAACATTAAAAACATATACACAGATACATATTATGAGGAAACTTTCATTTAATATAAAATTTTAAAGTAAGTGACAGGTCAAAATATTAATTTTTAGGTCAAAACTGACGTTTGTCATAATAGTTATGAACGAACAATTAAAGGTATTCTAAGGGTTTTTCAGTGATTAAACTTTGAATTCTTCCAACATATGCCCTAAGACCAGTTTGCGTTTAAAAATAGCTGTTCAATGGTCTTTCATTTATCACTTGACTATAATTAGACCAGAGTGTTATTTTAGACAATTCTAGTCTATGAAACTTGATATAATTGATAGTATTTTGGTCACTTATTGTTCGTTCATAACTATTATGACACAAAAAAGTAATTTTATCAAAAATTAATAAAGATTTTTATAAATTGTCAATTCTATGTATTTTTGGAAGTTATTTGCTATGTCTCAAAATATAACATCAGCCTAGCTGAAGAAAGGAACTTTGAGTATTCATAAATTTGTGTCATCATTGTTATGAACGAACTTTTTGCTATTTCCGTCATTCAAGTCAGAATTACACCAAGACCATTGCATATACAGCTTTGGCAGCTACTGAGCCTGAAAGAGCAATCATTAGGCAATATAATATGGGTGATTAAAGAATTATTACATAAAGTTGATTTTGGACCTCATTTGTCACACCCAGGTATCCCACCTTTTGGCAAATGCTCGTGTAGAGTCTCGCACACGGCAACCTTTAATCCCACAGTTCAAAGCGCAATTCATTACGTAGATCTACGTCAAGACTAGTTTATCATTGTAGAAAAGAAAAATAAATAACTGTGACGCGTTTGTATCTCCACTGAACTTTCACTCCCGGAACCCTTGTGCCCCCCCCCCCACCCCCCAACCCCTCATACACACGCACACGCAGTCACACGTGTGCTGGCCGCCTATCGACCCCGACATGCGCTAAGACACGTGTGAGTGCTAATAACACATGTTTTGGTATAAAAGTAGGCCGCTAATTGGCTGCATGAAGCAGTTCACCTTGCAATTAGCGGCTTCGTTTGAATCCGAACTTTTTCTATTAGATATTCGTTGAATCCGAGTTATTTTTTAAATTGATTTTTATTAATAAAAAAGGGGGGATCCAACTCATTTCGTTGAATCCTAGTTTTTGTTTTATCCGAGTTCGTTGAAACCGAGTTCCACTGTATACAATATCGTTATTTAAGATAATCTGGCGGTTGCTATAATGTACTGCATATCAAAAACAGCATAACGTTGATACAACTCACATGACGGCGACGCCTAAAATAATTTACATTAATGGTGAGACTTATTAGATGGTTTGAGAGGGGAGGGGGGGGGGGGGTTGGAGAGAAGGTTGCGTGATCCCTCA